CCTGGGACACCCATGCATGAGCTTCACCAATGAGGGACCAATAAGAGCTTCAAGCAAAAACTGAAGTAGCTATTTCATTGAGCTCCATAAAATACTGTGGTGCAGCCAACACTGCTTAGGGGCCCGTCTGGCTGATTAGAACATGGAGTCAACTAGAACTGCACTGAGCTCCAAACTGTCGCCTTCCAACTGTGTGGCCTTAGGCTACCGACCTACAAGTTCTGAACCTCAGTTTCTAAATCTGCCAAGTGATAATGATCATGTTTTCTTTCTCCAAGTCTATTGAGGTAATTAAATTTAGAAATGGCCATAACACACTCACACAGTGCCCAGGGAATGACAACTAGTCAATGTGTGTTAGTCTTACAGCCCCAACTACCATAATTGAGGTTTGTTGTTAGAGTCACGCTGAAGGCACGAGACACTTTCCTGGCCCCGTGAATTCATCACAGGCCACTTGTGAGGATGAGTCATGACAATTATTTCCAGGAGTTGCTGTGTCCTCAGAAGCAACGGGAAGCTTTCCTTCCTGAGTGCCGTGGTGTGGAGGGAGTGGCCAGGCGAGGCTGAGAGGGAGCACTGGGGAAGCTGTGGCAGTGGCCACTGGTGGGAAAGTTCCTTGACCTGGTGCAATGACAGTGCAACCCCAAGATCGGTCACCCTTTGGGAAGCATGTGCATATGCATAAAAGCAGCAGTTCTTTATTTGGGAAAATGTAGGACCTATGCGCAGAGTATTTTCAAGGAACTATATTAATAGGCCAGGGCAACATAAAATATTGGGGAACTTGAAAAACTTGGGTTTATTTATTTAACCAAAAAAAAAAAAATTAATGAGCACCTACTATGTGTCAGGACTCTTCTAGGCAGTAGGAAAACACCCAGAGCAAAACGGACATGGGCCCTGCTTTCATGAAGCTTGCATTCTAGGACTGACTATAAATATATAAATACATAAGAGATTTTCATTTAGTAATAAGTCTGTCAAAATAATAAAATGTCTTGGGAACTATGACAGAGAGTGAGAGGTAGTCAGGCAAGGCCTCACTGTGCAAATGGCATTTGAGCTAAAACCTGAATGAGAAGGTTTTAAAACCTTGGGAAAATCTGGGGTAAGATTGGGCCAGACATAAGGAAAATCAAGTGCAAAGGTCTTGGTTCAAGAATGAGAGACAAAGCAAGGATGCCCAGAGCATGCTACAAGTAGAAAAGAGGTTTGAAATGATGTGGGGGAAGTAGGGAGAAGCAAGATGGATTGTAAAGAACCTTTCAGTATATACACACACACACACACACACACACACACACACACACACACACACACAGATGTCATTGAAAGACAACAGTTTAGTGGTTATCAGAGGGCAAGTGGGGAGAGCGGGTAGTAGAAGAGGGAAAAGGGGGTCAAATATACAGTGATGGAATGAGAACTGATTCTGGGTGGTGAACACACAATGCAATATATAGATGATGTATTATAGAGATGTACACTTGAAACTTATATAATTTTACTAACCACTGTCATCCCAATAAATTAAAAAAAAAAAAAAAGCTAGCAGAAGCCAAAATAAGCAATAGGGTGAAATATAGTTAATTTCCAAACACACTAATGAAGTAGTGAAGTTAATTATCAAAAAGGAGGCATGTCATCATTTTCAGCATGTTTTCGTATCTAGTACAATGCTGGGCTGAGAGGTTGTAAGAACTCCATGTTCTTGGGCATTTTGCCTTATCCACTTCTTATCAGAAAGGGGTCAGTGGACTGTGTTTACAAACTTGATTCTAATAGAAACCACTGGGTGTCATGGAATGGCACTGAAACCAGGGCCCGGAGGCCAGGGGTGAAGTTCATGTTGCATGGCTGTGTTGCATCTACTTGAAAGACCTTGGACACTCCGGTAGGCCTCACTGATATTAGTTCGTTATCTTTAAGTTTAAAGTAATTGGTACCACGTAGGACAATTGTGAAATTAAATAAAAGAGTGCATTTCAAAGGTCCTTGGAAATTGTAAGGCATCATCTAAATATTTCTTACTGGCTTAAAAATTTTTTGTTGTTGTTGTTAACATTTCTTAAAATTTCTTGTTGTTGTTTTCAAGTAAATCCACTAGAGGTCAGGATTTTACATAAATTGTTTAAAGAAACCACCAAGGTAGAAAAAAAAAAAGAGAACATTTTCCCACTAAGCAGTATAACATAATAAGTTTAAAGCATAAAAATAAATAAATAAATAAATAAATAAATAAATAAATAAATAAATAAATAAAGATGGCTTTCAACAAAGAAGTTTTGATAACTGGAACAATGCGTATTCTTGAAACTTACTTAACAGGCTTAGGAAGAGGAAGGAAACACAAGTAGAATTTAAGTACCTATTTGTGATGTCTACACAGCTTAGAGTTTATATTACCTTATATTATTCTCAAAACAAGTCTATGATGAAGGCCTATTTTACAAATAAAGAAACCGAAACATAAATAGATGTGAACACATAGTGAAGATTAAACAGATTGAATCCAACGTCTTTCCACTAAGTCCTGCTTAGGAAACAATGCAGTGAAATACAGCATCTCTATATTGGACAATATATTATATGAAAGGTGGGCATTACTGGCTTTCCACCTGCAACTCCAAATAATTAATTTAGTTCCCAGTCTCTCACATGAATTTAGAGAGAACTCCTTCTATTGTCTGTTTCAGAGAGTCTAGAATTTTCGGAGCTGGTAAATATGATACTGCGATGATTAGCCATGGAGAAAAGTATAGACTAGCTTGATCTTAGAAAAAATATATTGAACAGAAGCAAGAGTCCTTTAAACTGTTTATTTGGCCATCAAGTTTTTGTTTTTGTTTTTTTAATTTTGTAGAACTGAAAATACAAATGTGCCTTGTTCCAGGATGGGGAGAGGCTGTTGCCATGTTTATGAAGGAATTTGGTAAGATAGGTGGCAGTTTATATCTTGATAGAAGGTAAAAACAAAAGTATACCTTGTTTTTCACTGTACATCAGACATCTAGAACAGTGCCTAGAGCAAAGGAAGGTCTGTGATGCGTATACTCATGTTGTTCCATGCATTCATATAGGCCATTTGCAAAGGACAAAAAAAATGAGTTCATTGTGCTCTGACCACAAGGGTTTGCAATCTAATACCCAGCTTGAACTGTTGATACAAACTCTAGGCTGCTCTTCCTTAGCTTGAAAACTTCAGCATCTCACATAATGCCTGGGGCTTAGTAGGTAGTCATTCCATTGCAAAATTGGGGAATCTCTTTCCTAAGAAGGGAATTCAGAATCCATTTGATGCAAAGGTCCCAGGCTCTGGGGGAAGAAGAAATCATACCAGATCTACAACAGACTTATTAGTTTTGGAGCCCAGGATCCTAGGGGACCCCTTCCTAAGTCTCTCTTAGGGGCACTCAACTTCCTTACTCCGTCACATTTCTGGCTTGTAATCATCTTACAATTTCTACACAAGCTCAGGAAGAGAGTTAAAGAGATTTCCATTGTTTGAAATCTCAACAAGGTTTTGAATGAGAAGGGAGACGTTTTATGGTTAAGTGATGAAATGAGGGTAGCACTCTGCCAGTATCCAACAAATATTAATTGCCTTCTGTTTCCCTTTTAAGTCACTTATCTCTCCATTGCTCACAATACATATTATTTAATGTTATCTGTTGTGCCTAAAATAGTGCTTGGCACTTAGTAGGTATTCAATATACGTTGGCTGAATTGGAATAAATATAATTGTTGAATTGGAATGCATTATGTTTTGGACACTTTTACCGACACTTTGTCCATTATTCCTGTTGAAAATTGCAGTTTCTCCACAGGAAATAATTGTTTAATGGTGCTATTCTCAAATGGATTCTCCCATTTTCAGGAACAAGGACAATTTTAATTTTCAACATTCTCCATGACACCCTAGGAATAATACAAAGTTTCCTGTATGGAAAATCCATTAATGGTTTTAAGTAAATACTTCACTTCTAATAGAAACTTTCTTTTCTCAACATTTGCCCTCATATTATTCATTTATTCACCCAAGAAATATTTGGAGGCCCCGAGGTCTCCTTCTTCTCCCTGCATTTATTTTCTGGTATCAAAGGTTAAAACTTGGATTGCAATCTTAGGAGGAAATTAATTCACTGATTAAGAAAAATGCACTTTAAGCAATACACATTTAAATAACTGACAAGCTTGGGCGGTGTATTTGTTTTTTTTGAAAGACCCTTTTTCTACTTAAAATTTTAAGCAGCTGCAATTCTTCCACCCTACAGCCTGAAGGAACACAGCATGAATTACTAATGAAGGAGCACCAATTTACTCTGCAGTGACCACTTTCAGAACAAAAGGGTCAGAGCTAAAACCAGGAAAACAACAGCTTTCCTATCAACCAGTTGCTTGAAGCACATTTAGACCTTGGGTCTACTTGAAAAAAAGAATTGCAGTATTCTATCATTCTTCTGCTGAAGGTGTTTGGCCCTGAAGAATCCACTTTCAAATAAAGAAATGTTGATTTGTCTATTACCTCCTATCCTTGACAAAAATTTTCCTCTGCATTGGAACCCAGGAGCCCATCAATGTATGAAATATACAAAAGACGAATATTTACTGAGATTGTGCTTAGTATCTAACTTTACTAGAAGCAGTATGAGAAAGAAGTTGGGGTTGAAACAACCCAAGATGTTTTACAGGAAAAGATTCCTGAAAACCAATGTCTTGCTTGTGTGTCTTCCCCTAAAGCAGCACGGAAGAGGAAATTTCCCCCTGTCCAGAGAAAGTTCTGTCACATCTCTGCCCCAGGGGTTCCACCCCCTCCTAAAATTCTCTTAGCTAACATGAAGGGAGATTTAAAAATAAGTAACAGGCAATTGATTTTCCAAAGCAGAAGGAAAATGGGAGGAACTAGGGAAGGGAGAGGAGAAAGTCATGGAAAGCTAGAATGTGGTTGAGATGAAGGAAGGGAGCTTACTTACTACAGATGAATTTTTTTTCCTCACCTTTGGGTCCTGGTGAAATCGTGTGTGTGGCACAGACTTCAGATGTAGGACGACTATCCAGGTCCAGGCCCAGACTCTGAATTTGCAAAAGAAAGAGCACCAGGAGGATGAACTGGTTCCTTTGAAGGAGGACTCCAAAGCCACCCATTGCTGAGGCTCTTCAAAAAAAGGTCGCCTAGAAATGCCACATAAACAGCTTTATTTTAAATAAAACCTTCGGCTCTGAGGAAGAAAGTGATTTCTGGAGCACACATTCCTACAAGGGCTGCAAAGTCCAAAAGGAAGCACATCCTAGGTTGTTTATTTTCTTAGTGTTCCAAACTGACCATACATTGTCCAGACTGTTTATTTTCAAGTGACAACCGTTTATTGAAAATGATCTCTGAACTAAACACACCAGCCAGGTCAGTAGAAACATTCCACAGAACGGAGACAAGAGAGATGCCTTCTGCTCAGTACATGAGCTGACAATTTAACTTCCTACATTGCATTTAAGGGCTGGGGTTCCAGAAAGATTGAGCCAGTGATTTCTTCAATGACCTACGTGTTATGGAAGCACTATGCATGGCGTTGAGCTTTTTCATAAGGAGATATTCATTACCTCTTTGTGGTGGTTGAACAGCAAAGCTCTGCATGCTCTCCGTGACCTTATCGCCTTCTCCTGCTACAAAGAATTGTCTTGGGATTAAACCCCAAAGGAAAGAATACCACCTTTACTGCAAAGCAATTTGGCAATAAGTAGCAAGAATATTAAAACTGTTTATAGCCCTTGACCTAGTAATTGCCTTTCTGGTCCGCTGTCTTAAGGAAATATTCTGAAATGAGGACAAAACTGCATTTGAAAAGATGTGGCAAAAAGGGGAAGGGACATCAACTGCCTAACGATACGTCAATGGTTGGCAAATCTTAGTAAATACAAACATATGAGAGAGTATGACATGATTTGACTAAAATGATGTAGCAAGTTTTTGATCAAATGGGGGAAAAAGCTTGTGGTATCATGTTTATTAAAAAGCAGAATAGATATAAATAATATAGCTGCAGATATAGGTATATGTACAGTGATAGAAATAGATACCTATCTATCCATCCATCCATCCATCCATCCATCCACCTACCCACCCATCCATCTCTTTATCTGACTACTTATCTGTTCTGTTAACCTTGACCTGTATGGCTACCTTAGGCTTAGTAACACACTGAAAACTAGGACCAGAATCACAAAGATTAGGGGGATGCCTTACCTTCTCTATTCTTGAAGAGGCATGTTAACTAAGAGTTAGACCAAAAAAGTTTTGGAAGTACATATTTTCCTTGAAATTGGAAAAGAAGGACCTTACAGATCTAGATGACTAATAAAGAAGTATCCCTAAGAGATTCCATTGTAAGTAATGGTCAGTCTAAGAAATGCAGATGTTATTTGTTTCCTAGGACTTCTATAACAAAAGACCACACACTGAGTGGCTTAAACAACAATTTATCATCTCACAGTTCTGGAGGCTAGAAGTCTGAGATCCAGGTGCTGGCAGGGCCATGCCTCTTCTGACAATGTTACTAAAACCATCAGAAGAGGCTCCTCTCATAGCTTCTGGCAATTCCTTTGCTTGCGACAGCATAACTCCAGTCTCCACGTGGAGTCGTCCGTGTGTGTGTGTGTGTGTGTGTGTGTGTGTGTGTCCCTGTGTCCAATTTTCTCCCCCTTTTTATAAGCATGCCATTCATAATGGATTAGGGCTCACTCTAATGTCATTTTAATTTGATTGCCTCTGTAACAACCTTATCTTTAACATGTGAAATACTGAAGATTACGGCTTCCGCATATGAATTTTTCTTTTGGCTGGGGAGACACAGTTCAATTCATAACAACAGACTGATAGTATGACTTAACTGATCTTGTCATAAGAGATACAAGGAGAAGGGGGAAAGGAACTGGCATTGATTGAATAGTCATGATGTGCAAGGATAGAGTTAGTCTCTTAATTTCAGCTGACCTTATTTAAGCCATAAAATAGCATTGTGGAATAGTCTCCCCATTTTGCAAGATACCTGAGGCTCACGAAAGTTAAGCAGTTGGTTTAAAGTCATTGTGATGGTTAATTTAAAATGTCAACTTGACCGAGTCACCAGGTGCCAGATATCTGACTAAGCATAATTTCTGGGCATGTCTGTGAGATTGTGTCTAGATGAGATAGGCATTTGAATTGGACTAAGTAAAGCTGATGGGCCTCCCCAATGTGGGTGGGCCTCACCCAATCCTTTGAGGGTCTGAATAGAACAAAAATGTGAAGAAGGGAGAATTTGCTCTCTGCCTGACCCTGGAAATGGGACTTCGGTTTTCTTTGGCACTTGGATTAAAGCCTACTGCATCATCTACCCTGGTTTGGGGGCTTTTGAACTTGGAATGGGGCTTACACTATAGCCTCCCTTATTCTCTAGCCTTTGGTTTTAGATTGAAACTCTGCCACCAGCTTTCCTGGTTCTCCAGCTTGCAGAGGGCAGATCATGAGACATCTCCGCCCCCATAATCACGTGAGCCAAGTCATTATATTAAATCTTTCTCTCTCTAGATGAAGATATAGGTATAGTTGTATAGATACATACAGATATAGCTATTAATGACATAAATATAGATATATCTCGTTAGTTTTTCTTCTCAGGAGAACTCAAAGTTATCCATTAAAAAAAGGGACAAAAAGAAATTTGAATACAAATGATTTCCAAAAATTCCTGCTTTAAAATGCTATTTGTCTTCCATAAAGGTAAATATTCTCAAGTTATGAGGATGCATTAATTTTAACACATGCTTAAAACATCCAAGATGAATTCATCTGTCATTTTGACAGTGACAGGAAAATAGTGGGGATTAGTAGAATGGTGTTAGAAGCCTCACATTCCATATCTGTCATAACAAGACACATGACATAGAGCAAATCTCTCAACTTCAATCGCCACAAAGCACATAAAGTGAGTTTGGACTTGATATATAATGTACTTTCTGAATTCTATGATTCTTTGAAAAGAAACGTTTTTAAGTTTTTTAGGCTATTCTAAATCTATTTCACACCTTTTATTTCTTTTTCAAGCATTCCTTGGCACACAAAAATACATTCATTACATTTATGTATACAAATCCACGGGTAACAGTTTGAAACAAATAATAATCTTTAGTATTATTCTTTGGGATATTCTATTCCTGTTCTTGTCAACTCTCTTTTTCTTTTTAAACTCAACAATGTATATATTGGGTTGTTGGAAAAGTCATGACATATTTTGCCTATGTTTTTCAAAGGTCATTTATTTATATAAAGAACAAGGATCTATCAATGATATATATAGTGCCCATTTTGTTTGATAACCTTTTGCCATCTTTCAGTGAGCTTCATAATTTCTTGTTCGTAGAAGTACCTGTCTTTATTTGTGAAAAACTGAACAAGGTGTTGATTTACAGCCTCATCTGACTTGAACGTTATACCAAGCAAGAAGTTTTAAAGAGATCAAAACAAGTGGAAGTCTGACAGTGCAAGGTCAGGCAAGTATGGTGGGTGTGGCAACACGTCCCATCCAAGCTCCAATCATTTTTGACAGGTAATCAAACTTGTGTGTGGTCTCACATTGTCGCGATGGAATACAACTCCTTTACAATTAACAAGCTCTGGATGTTTCTGGATGATGGATTTGTTCAAACTGTCCAATTGCTGACAGTACACATTCAAATTGATTGTTTGGTTCCTTGGTAGGAGCTCAAAAAACACAACACCTTTAAAATCCGACCACACTGAGAGCATAACCTTCCTCTGATGAATGTCTGCTTTCGATGTCGTTTGAGGCGAATCATCACATTGGGACCAAGACCGTTTGCATACCACATTGTTGAAAACAATCCTCTTTTCATCACCAGTTATCAGTTGCTTCAAAAAAGGATCATTTTCCTCACATTTAATGAGCACATTGCAGATGTTTATATGCACCGTCAAATGAACTTCTTTGAGTTCATGCAAAACTCAAATATCGAGCTTGCTTACATATCCCAGCTTCTTCCGGTGGTTATGAACTCTTGAATGATGGATGTTCAATGTTTCTGCAATCTCTCGTATCATGTAACATGGGTTTGACTCAATCAATGCCTTTATTTTGTCGTCATCAACCTCGGTGGGCCTCCCTGACTGAGGAGCATCGTTCAGATCAAAATCACCAGCATGGAATTTCGTGAACCATCGTTGGCACTTACGTTCTTGTAGAGCACTGTCACTATAAACTTTATGCAACTTTTCACAAGCTTGACGCGCGTTCTTCCCTTTATGGAAGTAAAACAGTAAAATATGGCAAAAATGCACAGTTTGGTCTTCTATCTTAAACTTGTTGTAAAATCTCCAAAACTAAACCAAATCGCTCAGTTTATTTTTAGAACGAAGCTAGAACTGTCAGCTATCAAATGACATAGCAATAACATAGATGTGAATCACTCTAGTACTGCCAAAAATGAACTAGTGCCATCTGTTGCAAACATGCGTCGTGACTTTTCCGACAACCCAATTAATAGCTTTCTATATTAATGAATAGGCGATTACACCAAAATTTAAAGTGGTATAGAATTTTCATGACATATTTTATATATAAAACATTAATCAATATTCTATTGTTGGGAATTTAAAATTTCTAATATTATTAATATAAATAACACTGTGATGAACACCTTTAGAGGTCAATCCATGTGCCCATTCCTTCTGAGCACTGAAGAAGACAAATGTATATGGCTTGGTAACTCACTGAATGTTGAGAGCAACAGATAAAAATAAATTTTGAAAAATAACTCATATACTGTAGTCATAGTATGCTCTCCTTTCTCATGAAGATTATGGTCCCCAGGGTTGATTTTTTTTTTCTCATCTGACTTAGAAACTATAGCTTCCTTTTCTTCTTACTGACAAATATGGGGAGCTTATAAATAGGTGCATATTCATTTTTTTTTTTTTTTTAGCTGAGCCATCCTGCCACCTGTTGGCAGCTCAGCGGCAGCTCAGCTCGGGCCAGGAATTGAACCACAAGTTGCTCAGAGCTTGCACTCTTGAGTGAGCCCTTAACCAACTGAGCCACTCGGCCAGCCCAATAGGTGCATATTCAAAGAAGAGGACTTTCCTAGACCATAGAGAACTGCTCTACTTTTAGCTAGAATTTACCAAGGAATGTGACCTTAAAAATCACTTTTCAGCTTCAATCCGCATGACTGAAAAAACACTATTGCCACAAAGAAACCCTGGTTAAAGAAAGAACTAGTTTTGATGGGTAAATAATGGGGCTAGGAAGTTTAAGTGTCAGAGA